TCCCAGGCTGGTTCCCAGTCTGGTTCCCGGCTGGTTCCCAGGCTGGTTCCCAGCCGGTTTCCAGGCTGGTTCCCAGGCTGGTTTCCAGGCTGGTTTCCAGGCTGGTTTCCAGACTAGTTTCCAGGCTGGTTCCCGGCTGGTTTCCATCTGGTTCCCGGCTGGTTCCCAGGCTGGTTCCCAGCCGGTTTCCAGGCTGGTTTCCAGACTAGTTTCCAGGCTGGTTCCCGGCTGGTTTCCATCTGGTTCCCGGCTGGTTTCCATCTGGTTCCCGGCTGGTTCCCAGCTGGACGCTTCTGTGAAATGTGTTTCTTTGAGTTTCTGAAGGACAATCGTTTGTGCTGCGAGGCAGCGTTTCTCTGAGATAAAGTGTTTCTGGGAAGCATAGATAATGGAAACAGAATGGGTCTCCCTTTGCTCCTAGATGAGCTGAAACGTGACACCGATGGGAAGGCTGCAGGTTTTACTCACCCAGGTTGACAGAGCATGGCCCATGTAAATAAGGAACTTGGCTGAAGTGAAGAAATCTCTGAGGGATTCTGCAAAGACATGTGATTGGATCAGAACCGGGTCAGAGAGCAGAACCTGCAGCTGATAGGGAGGGTTTCTCACCGCAGCAGCTCTTCTTGTTGGGGGCAGCAGCTTCCATGTTAACAGGACGGATGTTTTTCCTTCTTTGTGTTAAAATCAGCTCCTCTGCTGTCAGTCTGCAGCAAAAAGCAAGAAGAAAAGTCGAAAACGCGCCGTTTCTCCTGGTTTCTCCTCGTTTCTCCTGGTTTCTCCTGGTTTCTCCTGGTTTCTCCTCGTTTCTCCTGGTTCCTCCTCGTTTCTCCTCTTTTCTCCCCTCCGAACTTAGCTATCACTGTAGCTGAAGTTGGAAAGAAATGATCGGATGTTCTGATGGACGCTTCGACCCAAACAGACGGAAAGGATCGGATCCGCTGCAGCTCCGACCGTCGCTCTGCTGCTCTCTGTTTACCTCCTGCCTACATATACCCGCTGTGACGTCACCCTGGGAGCACAAACACACGCGGCGCGCTCCCTGCGCGCGCGCTTCTCTGGAGAAACAGCCAAACATGGCGGACCACAGCCTGAGGGGGGGGGTTTAGGGGATCAGCAGCTCACCGCCATGGTCACCATGGTAACCGCAGCAGCCGGCCCACGTGAGGAACCGGGACCGGAAACACATTGCGATGTTTAGCTTTTTATCAAAGTAAACAAAACAAGCAGCCAATCAGAGAGTGGAGATGCCTGGAGGCGACATGACGTCACAGCAGTATCAGGATATTTTTTGATCAGAAATAAAGGCAGGAAATGCAGCTAATCTATTCAGAATATTTATTTATTTAATAAATCATATTACTTTTTATTAAACATTAAAGCCTTTTAACCCATTTAGGTTTAAATATTCATCAATGTCTCGTTGAACAGGAGGAAATATTAATGGAGCCTTTAGCTGATCTTTGACCTCCTCATCATGGCGGCGCTGCAGGAGGGTGAATGACAGTCTGCAGACTACAGCCTGATTTACGCTCAGAAACCATATGCCCCGCCCCCTCTGCTGCACCACTCCAAAACTGTAGGTGACCGCAGACAGGAGGTCTCTGATTGGTCAATTCTGCATCCTCTCTATCTATGCGTATTTCCTGTTTGGTACCTAATGGCAGAAACTCTGGCTGTAGCTCCGCCCACAGCGCCTGGCTCACCTCGGACTCTATCCGAGACGCCGTGCAGGACGCTAGTTTGTAGCTCAGTGCGACGGTCTGTTGGTTTGACCCAAAGCCAAAACACGCAGCGCCGCGGCCGGTCTTTGGGGAACGGTCACGGGTGAACTGTGTGTCGTCCGGCGTTGGATGAAGGATTGTAGACGGCGAACAAGCTCGTCAAACTGACACACGGACACCCCCTATCCTGGCTAGTTCCTGATTGGCCCTCTGGCGCTGTGGCGTGGAATAACGCAGAGCACGCTTCAATATTGGGCATAAATGAAAAATATCTGCGTCAAACATGCGACAAGCTAACTGCGACACGCTGCTGTGGGAGGATAACCAGCCAACTTTGCATTTCTTGT